CAGCCCATATAGATCTGTGGCAAAGAACAGGAGTCATCAGCAGTCTCTCACCTCTCCAAGTGCACAGCTCAGAGTGTACAATCTGTTAGTAAGAGCCATAATTTTTAAACCGGGTGAGTTTTTCTAATTTTTTTTTAATAAAAATGAGATTAAACCAAGGAAAACCTAAAGCAATGTTGCCCAATGGCCAAAAATACAGCAATTTTTACTTCCAAAGGACTGATGAAATGATGACACATACCCTTAATTAGGCATTTGACTGAAATCATATCATTTACTTTAAAACTTTGGAATTCTGTAAGCATGTGCTGATGCTGAAAGTGCACAGAAGCACTACCAAATTTCAAATTGTGTTATTTAAGTATTTAATTCAGTTTCAAATGTTTGAACTGGTAGCTACTAGTGCATCTTGACTAAGATTAAATCTTGCACATTGGAGGTATTTTATAATTCTTGACAGTAGTTACTTCAGTATGCTACTCTGAATAAAAAAGTATCAGGACTGCAATGTAACTGTATGGATATATTAGATTACACTGAATAAAGGATATAAGTAGGGTTGGATAACAATATCATAAACAAATATTGCTGCCTAGAAACAGCTGGCATAGCCACATTAAAATATTTAAGGTACCTTTAATATTAACTACCTAGCAACAAGTCCCTGATTACTTCAAGGAAAACAGGCACTACTAGGGAAGGCAGGAATCATAGCAATTATTATTCTTATACTTCTTTTTTTCCCAGTAACAATTAGACACATAACTCTTACTATATAACATACAATTACATGCATAGGGAATCCCTGCCTTAAATAGTTGGTGCTTGACTACACTAAGAAACAATATATGGCTGTGCAATTACAGGATGTGTATTTGATAGAGCTGAGGAACTGGTTCTCTGCATCACCGGGTCAGGTTCCACCTCTGGCTCTGATTTACAGTGTGACCACAACAGCTCCCGTGTCCACACATCCCTGCTGAGGTGCTTGCAGTGAGAAGGCAGTTGTGGCACAGCACAGGCAAACACAGTCTAAGGCACATTCCAGGACAAGAGAACCAGAGCAGGAGGTGTCTCACCTCCCCTGACGCTGTTTCTGTCACTTAATCCAGCCGTGTGTTACTCCCCCAGTGCCCTGGCAGGAGGGGGCACAGCTGGGCACTGCTGTCCCCTGCACCACCATCAGGTGCCCTCGGTGTCCTTGGCAGCTCCCGAAGGCAGAGCTTCCTCCTGCGGCGTTCGTAAAACACCCAAAGGACCGTGATGGAAAATGGTTTCCTGTCATGGTTAAGAGAACTTTCTCATCTTGGGTGTGCTCATCCCAGCAGTGAGTAAACACGTTGGCAGGATGCTTTCCTGCTGTGGTGGCAGGCTCTGGGATGTGCCTGCATTCCTGTGATTTCTTTTCAAAGCTTGTAAAAGGTGTCAGGTTAATGCAGGTTTGCAGGGTGTTGGAGGCCTTGGGTTCCTGATGTTCTAGTTATAACAAACATTGACACGTCCAGTATTTTAACAGCCAGGACACTTTGAGATTTGGCTTCCAAACTGGGTTTTGTAGAACTCTACTTGGACATGACACTCTCAAGCTTCATATAAAACCAATGAACATTTCCACTTCAGGACCTACATGAAGACAGTAATCCCCTAGCACAGGCGTAAGAGTCAGTTTCACAGTTTATAAATCCCAAAGAAAGCCATTGGCTCATCTCTGCATCTCTCTATTCCATAACCCAACTCTAACCCTCATTCCAAAGCTTAACTTTACCAACAATCCTAATCCATCAATCTCTTTGCTGCCTAAAGAACCTGAGGACATTTATGTAAATGACAGAGGAAGAACAGACTTGATTTTTGTATCAGTTCAAATGGACATTTCAAGTGTGACTCAAGCAGGTCATGTGCAGAAGGCACATCTTGGCAAAACCAAGCTCTCAGAGTCTGTCAAATTTAAAATCGAAACCCTTGAAGTTACTTGGGCTTGAGATAAGAAACTTGTTCCTAACTAACTTGTTTTGCTAAATAATGCTCTGATAAAGGCAAAACCCACTCAGTGGAAGAACTCACAGTGCCAGTGTATGGGAATTTAGTATTAATCAGACAGGTTTTGAGACAGAAGAGATTCAGATTAGACATCAGAAACATTTTTCACTGTCAGGGTGCTCAGGCACTGAAATATGTTGCTCAGGGAGGTGGTGGGGCAACCCTGGAGGGGTTCAAGAGGAGCTGGGTGATATGCTTTAGTGCTTTAGTGCTTTAGGGCTAGTGCTGGGTTGACAGTTGGACTTGACCTTAAAGGTCTCTTCCAGCCTTGATGATTCCATGATTCTGCACAGGTGCCTCAAGGAAATGGGCAATGACAGCATAATTATTAAACCCAGCACACACTGGGTCATTTTATTTCTCAGGGCCAGCTGACACAGGCGCCAAACGGGGCCCGATGGCTCATCCCGGCCGGGCACAGGCTCCGCAGCTCCCGGTGTGACGTCACAGCCCGGTGACGTAGTAGGGCTGTCGGCCAGCAGAGGGCAGCAGCGCCCCGCGGATGGCGCCGAACGGGCGGGTTTGTAGGAAAACATGGATAGGGAATGGGAAAACATGGATAGGGAATGGGAAAATCCCACCCGAGGGCAGCGCAGAGAGCACCGACACTCACTGCCTGGCACTTCTGGCCAGAGCACGTAAGGTCATATTGGTCTTGTGGCACAGAAGCATCATTTTCAGCTCAGTGCGGGGGTTCTTGTGAGTGTGGCAAAAGATGGCTGAAACCCTGCAAACCTCCAAACTGCAAAATATGAGCGGGATTTAGGTAGTGCCAGCACGATGTATCAGTGATTTTTCCTCCTATAGCCCTGGAAGCTCTATGTGAGGTTTCTGAGGACCAGAAAAATACAAAATTTCAGCCCTGCTGTTTAGCAAAGTGCCACTTGAAGTGGAAGGTTGGACTGAAGATCTCCAGAGGTCCTTTCTACACTTCAATTTCTGAAAGACCCATCTTAAAGGAACAAGACGTTAATATCACAATGAATTATTCAGTACCCCTGAATTCAAGGGAGCTGCTTGTCCAAGCCAGCCCAGGTCAGAACTCGTATAAGCCACTTTTCCCCTGAGATGCAGTGGTTGCACATTCATTCAAAGTGACCCATGGCACCAGCAAAAGCTACCAAAGCCACAAAAGCCCGACTTTAAGGGTTGCTCCAATCTTTTTGGAATGACAGCTGATGCAGCCTTCTCTTGAGCAAACTGGACTGTGTGAAGAGGACGTGTAAAGCAGAGAGCAAAAATCGGTCTTTGTGTAATGGAGTGCTGCCCACACAAATGAATCCTGCTGTCACAATTGTTAGGGATTATTTTTCGCCTGATTTCCATCTCGGGGAACTTTGCACGCTCCTCCGTGTACTTAGGAAGTATTTTAATTACATGATTCCAAAGTGTTTCCAGTCATAAAATATGTGGGTATAGATCACATGCCTATTATTTCAGTTTACAAGCAGCACAGTAAATTAATTGCAGTGTCAGTAGTATAACATAAAGGTGTTGATTCCCAGTGCTTCCCAAATCCTTTTCCCCTAAGCATTATACAGCCATGGCAGGATGTATTTTTTATTTTATCTTTCTATAAACTGAATTATAATACATTAAACAAAACTGATACTTCAAATTACATACTCCAGCTGAGAATCAAATCCGTGACCAGAGTTGATTTTGTTAGTGTTAAATTGCCTTTGCCTTTAGATGCTGTGTTTGATTGAGTAGGGCAGTAGCATCTATTTTTAAGATTGTTAGCAAATTTAACTAGAGTCTGTGTTTATCTTTTTCTCTGTAATTAACATTCCAGCTTGAGGCAAATCAAATCAGCCAAACAGAACAATTGCATGTGTAATGCATCAGTTGGTCTCAGAAACCTCATTTTAAACTCCTTTAGTTGAGCAGGAAAGTTATTTGGGGACTTGCTCATTTGTTTTCTTGTTTTTTGGGGCATTTTTTTTTTTGGCACATTCAGTGCTGCTGATTCTGTGAAGAGGTAAGGATGGCTGAGGGGGAAAAATGGAATATCAGCCTTTCTTCTCTTTTTTGGCTGTTCTCTGTGTCAACCTTTTTCCTTGCATTGCTTACAACAGCTGCCTAGTAAAAAAACATTGGTAAATGGCAAAAAACTCTTATGAAGGAGGCTTTGTTTTCTTCATTAAAACAATAAACTGGGAGGCTGTGGCCCAAACTTTTTGATGAAGCATCTACAGCCTTAAGGAAGTGCTAGAATCCACTGGCCTAAAATGTGGAAGTCCTAGCATTTCTCAGGTGGGTCTGGATTCTGAAGGCCAGTTGGCACATTATTTATAATGAGGCAGGTCCAAATTAAATAACCCCACAAGAGCTGCAGACAGGACATGACACTCAGACTGTCACTGTGGAGACTCAGAACCCAACTGGAAGTGGCACAGAAAGCAGAGAGGGTTAAGTAGGATGAGTGCTGCAATTCCTTGTAGCTGGCAAGCATTGGCAGCTCTGTGCTGTTGCTACACCTTGGCAGAAGCTTCTACTACTCCTTGAGAGGTACATGCAGGAGACAGGAAAGACAGAGTGGAGGATGGATGAAAAGAAGGTCCAGGAAATGTGGAGATGGGCAGACAGACTGAGATTCAAGAAAATAAGATTGCAACAAATCATCCTAGGTTGAGATTAGGAAGAGATCACATTCCCTCGTTCCTGCCTAACCTGTTCTTAAACACTAGTGGTGGATATTGCCCAGCTGATGTCACTAAGCAGTCTATTCCCTTATTTATCCAAAGGCTTTGTTTGTCTAACTCATTCTTGCTGTGGTTATGCTCACTACTCCTTGTATTTTCTGGGATAAGACCTGGGATTGTTCAGCCTCAAAAAGACCCAGGGAGGATCTTTTCAATGTGTGTAAATACCTGATGGGAGGAAGAAAAAAGGATGGGGCCAGACTCTTCTCAGGAGTATCCAGTGAAAGAATAAGAGGAAATGGGCACAAACTGAAATACAGGAAATTACATTTAAAGTTAAGATTTATTTTTTTTCAGTGTGAAGGTGGTCCAACACTGGTACAGGTTGCCCAGAGAAGCTGTGGAGTCAGTCTTTGGAGATACTCAAACCCCACTGGGCATGAACTTGGGCAGCCTTCTCTCTCTGATCCCACTGTGAGCAGAGGGGGTGAACCATGAGCACCTTTCAACCTCCACCATTCTATGATGATTCAATGACAGTGGACAAAGAAACCAGTTATTCTTGTCCTCTTTCCAGCAATTCTTATGTATTTCAAGACTGTTCCTGTTTCCCATGAGAAACCGGTATAAAGAATCCTAATTCTTCAAATCACATATCACAGCTTCCAAAATTCAGATTACCCTTGCTTTCCTTTGGCCTGTTTTCTGTTGATAATTCTTGAAATGATTGTATCAGACTGAATAAAGTGTTCCCAGTGAGGTCTGACTCACAGCACTGTAAAAGGATTACAGCACAGGTCTTACGTACAATGCTCCTGTGCCTTCATTGTACACGGGATTTTTTTTTAACCTTTTTGTTACTGATTTCTTGGTCAATTTGTGAGCTAGGATTACCCCAGAACTCCTGATTAACCAGCTGTTCCTGTGTTTGTATTTATACAGATGATTATTGCTCTTGGATATTTTTCTCTTGCCAGATATTTCATTTGTTTCAGGTAATTTATTCACCTTGCCACAATAATCTCATAATGGAATCCCAATACCCAGTGGGCTTTCTGACCCTTCCAGCCTGATAAATTTACTGTGTACCCTTGTTATTCCATTATTGGGCCATTGATAAAGACACAGGATATCACCCAACTCGTGTACTAACCATTAGTAACCACTCTACAGGAGAAAATTCCCAATTACTGGGACTGTGGAGGTGTCATAACTGGGCCGTATTTCCTTGGATAGTTATGGGAAAATCACAAAGAACAGGATTAAAGGTCATATTGAGTGCAAATGCACACTATTGCCCAGGATTTCTGGACTGTCATAGAAAAGGAAAGGATGATGATTCAATCTCACATTTTTTATATTAACTGCTTCTTAGCACTTGCTCATACTTGAAAGTACACACTTCAAGTATTTTTTCTATTCTTTCTTCTTTTCATTTAAGAAAAGGGTCTAACTGACCTAAAATTCTGTGAGCCTTCCTTCTTTGCCTTTGGGAAGGTCAGGATGGTGGCACAGATTCCTCAATATGTATAAAGCCAGAACCTCCCACTGGTTTCACAGTCATTAGAAAACAATAGTAAGTCAGGAGCCCAAATACTTTTCCTACTTTCTGGGGATTTGCTCATCCTCTGGTAGTTTTCAAAGATCTGAACTCGCTTCTCCAAGGTTGCCACACCTCCACCTGGTCCTACTGGACTGATGACACACTGTAATCTCCTGCAACAACACATGCTTGTCATTTTTGCCTTCAATAATTACTCAGAGATAGATCTCTTTCCTCCTACATCCTATATGCTGTAATGGTCTATATGGCAGGCTTAGGTTACCTTCATAAGTGAAATGGTGCCTTGCAATTCTTCCTGTGCCTTCCCCCAAAGAGGTAATGGACTATTTATGTGTAGTTTCTAGGATATTTTAAATTTTTTTTTTAGGAATGGCTTTGACCTTTTCTCAGAAACATCTGGCAAAGCTGAGTCATCCGTGTAGCTGCATAACTCATAGCTGTCATAGTGTTATAGCTCTCTGATTTATCACACATAGTCATGCAGCTAGGGTATAAAGCTGTTATAGAAATGCAGTATTAAATGGTCCAAATAGATAGACAGATAGATAGATAAATAGAGAGATGTTGCAACATAATTAAAATGTCAAACAAAGTGAAGGCACGTTGCCAGGTGTTAAACGTAGCTCTGATTCCACCTTGATCCACTCCAATCTTGCTTCTCACTGGCATTTCCCTCCACAAATGTAAAACCTGACTGACTCCAGCAACAGTACAGAACTTCCCTGATTTGTCTGAGGTGTGATTGTACATAAATTTTATTTTATTATTATTTACAGAAAAGATAGAACTTGCTTTCATTTATCTGCATATAAATATGAATGTAATCTCTCTCATCATGGCAATTTAAACATTTTACACTTGTCAATGTAGTCAGGCTCTAACACTTCTGCACAGTAGGGAACAAATGCTACCTTTATGTAAAAGGGAGGTACAGAGACCTTGTTATTTATGCAAGGACAAGGACTCAGATTTTCAGTCCTCTTCAGTTTCCTGTCTATCTTCCTTCCCTAGGTTTTACAATGACCTACATATCATTGCCCAAGAAATGCAAAGCCAGCAATAAACACTTCTAGCCTGCATATAGCAATGATCATCTATTCCAGTTACTCAAGTATAGAACACATAATCTCACAGGAAAATAAAGTTCTTTTAATCTTCTAGTTTAGCCCTTCGAGAGTCATAAGAATTCTAATTACCGGTGGAGTACTTAACTGAGCATCAAGAGCTTGAGGATTGCAAAAGCTATACAGGACTTTTTCATCCACGTGCCACAGATGAAGGAAAAGCTGATAAGTGCTTTTTGACCTAAATTATTGCCTAGCAGCTTAGAGATTCTGCTCTGGGGAGGGAAGGGTTCAGTGTCACTCTTCAAATGTCACACATCCCCACTCCTCTCTTAAGTACTGAGGTGTGTATCTGCAGTGTAAATGCGGTGTTATGTGGAGGCTGAGGTTCTGCCAGTATGAGTTCTGCTAGAGACCCTTGGGTAGGTGTGTCACTGAGGTTTTATTGTGGCTCTGTCTGACTGAATAACTGTCTGACAGAATAACTTCACTGCCAGGGTTAAAAACAATCACCTCCTCAGCCATCAGCTCTGTGGTGGTGAATCTGGGTGAGATACAGCAAGGCTACAGAAGCTCAGTTACTGTTCCAGCTCTTTTGGGAAGGTGATGGCCACTGGACAAGCTCCTTTGGATGGCAACCTCTGAGTGTCACCACAGGGCTCTGCTGCTCTGACATGAATTGGATTCCTTACAGTTGAAACAAAACCCAGGAGAAGCACTGCAGGACTGCCTCTGGTGTGCTCCAGTTGCTAAGGGGTCTGTAGGACAGAACTAGATCTAATCTTAAATAAAGCCCCTGGAATGTGGATAGTTCAGAAGCTGGATCCTCAGTGCCAGCTGTTTACTTCTCCAAGTCCTTTCCTACTCTACAGCACAGCTTCCTAGTGTAGGCAAGGTTGGCTTTAATGTATTTGTAACATAGACATGAGCAGATTTGCTTGGCAACTCAGAGTGAGTGACACTAAAATAAGTCCTGACCCTAAGAATTCAGCTCCTTCTGTTCAGTAAGGACCAGGTAAGTGCACTGTTACTCCAGTTACTGTGATCTGAAGTCCAGTTTCATAAACAGTGTTTTAGTAGGTTATTCTGCATCTGCAAATTCAGTTCACAATATGCTGCACAAGTGCTTGTGGCTATCCAGTGCTGGCCTGGTACAGGAATAGAAACACACAGCTGGGGAGGAGGAAAGGATTATTTAAGCTGGTTTTAGCAGTATTGTTGCTGAATGTCACAGCATGTCAAACCTTACTCTGAAAAGTTCCTTCTGGAACAATTTCTGGGGTAAGGAAAGGAGGATTTGACCTCAAGGTAATTTATTGCACAGGCTTTTGCTGCAGCTGTACAGGTACATATGCTATTTTAAAAACACAGTCACAATATACAGGATGAAGTCAACCAGAGTGATCAATATAAACAATTTGTATTAAAGCTTTATTAATTGAATGGAGTACTAAAGTACGTTTTCCATCACAACATGGTAATGCTTAAACCCTGGAATGCTGAGACCACTGGCTTCCAAGCTGATCAATAATATCTTGTTATCTTATGTTCCATCCCTTAAACATCTCATTCTGTTATTAACTTTGACTTTTGTACTGGTTCTAAATCTCTGGAATGTGAACTGCTCTGGCTTTGCACAGTACCTGGCACGGTGGGGGTCCTTATCCATGACTAGAATTCCCAGCCATGGCACTAATGTAAACCATGCCTAATAATTCATAAATATTGTATACAGTAATAAGTGCCAGGAGAACGTGGAGCAAGAGGAAAGTGGGTTTTAAAAAACCCTCTTTTCCTGCATTTATTTCCATCACTTAAAACTGACAGATTTTTGCACTGAATAACTAATACATTTCCTTCTCCTCTGACAGCCAAAACCAGTGAAAAGTGACAAAAAGGAAAGTATAACACCTCAGTACTTGGCAACTCTTGCTGTTCTTCAGGCCCTATTTGATGCTTGGTCTCAGCTGCATTCACAGCACAGGAAGTTACTTATGCAAAGGATGGAACACAGATATTTTGCTATTTTTGCTATTTTACCACCTAATTGCTGTAATACTAAGAAACTGAGTAGTCATATTCAGAAATAGAAACAGAAAGTATGATAAATCTTGAGGGGAAACTAAATCCAGTGAATCCTGGTAACATCAGAAAGATAACAGTGTTCTTTGTTTCTATAATATTAAAATAGAAAAAAAAATCAGGGAAAGTAAAGCAACTTCCAAAATTGATTCAAATTGATTAAATGGTATCTGGAAAAAAAATCCCACATTTAAAAATCTTTTTTTCTTAAATGACATTAAATTCCAGTGATCCAGAAATTTTACTTTTCGTCTTTTCTAAAGGCAAAAGTTTGGGTGGTTTTAACGTGAAGTATTTTGCTCTTAAAAAATCCAACCCAAATTAAGAGTAAAGAAAGTCAGGCAAGCTCTTCCAAAGGGTAATAAAACCATTAGGCTGGTTTTAAATCTTATTTTACTGAATACATCTTCAATGAGTTGCAAATGGATTTCCATCCCATTTTTCATTAAATTTATTCTCCTCCACTCCCAAGACACAGAACTGAGAACTCTAGAATCACCAACAGGACAAAATTGTCTTTGAGACATTTCCACAGCAGCCCAAATCGTGACCTTGTGCCACCCTAATAAAGACACAAGTGGTTGTGAGGAAGCCTCTTTTAGAAACATTTCCACTGGAACTTTCTTTATCAAACACTGGTCTGGAAAGGAAAGTCTCTCATAAAGCAGATGTGTAAAAGCCCACAAAAAGGAGTCCGTTGTGTAGATTTCCTGAGTGCTTTCTGGCGATGGTTAATTGGCCTTTAATCAATGAACAGACTGAAATGAGGCTGGGGAGCAAAAGCTGCAATCTACTTTGGGAAGGACTTCTTCTGCCTGAACTGGTTTATACTCTGTACACTTAGAAAAATCACTGGAAAAGCAGCATGGCCAGGTGATCACATAAGGAAAAGCAAGTAGAACCTGTTTTAAATTAGATGTGAATTTTAAAAGAATGAAGAACAGCCTTGGAGAAATTCTGAATTCAACATGGCCTTGGTATAGTATAAATAGTATTTTAACTGATGAAGGCAGACCAACAGCACAGTAAGGAATCTTTTCATGGGCACTGGTTTGGTAGCCTGCAAAGTGCAATTTGTAAATGTAGAATAAAAGAATCACAGGCAGTCAAAACATTCTCATTTACTTTTTGAAAATGGTCTCATTGATTTGCTCTTAACAGCAAGTGCAACAAAGGGAAATCAATACATTGTCTATATTGCAGATATTAACCACACACACATGGCTTTGCAGGGAAAAGGTTACTGTTTTCCTGGTGCCCAGTGAAATGGAATATTCCCATTGCAAGTAAGAGATTTTCATGGGGGAGGAGGAAATACCAGAGCAGCTCTTCCTTTAGAGATAGCTAGAGCTGCCATATGAAACAGTTATTTCAGTGGAAAGAAAGCTAAAAATAAATTCGGGCAAAAATTCTTATGCTGATCTGCTTTCCCTGTTTTTGAGAGTGTTTTCATTTTCATGCCAAAAGCTAATGTTCATGCCAGTGGTTTTGTGTTTTGCTGTTATAAAACACAACATACAAGTATTTTCCAGAGTATTTAATATTGAAAGTACATTTGCAGGTACTTCTGAAATGTTCTAGTGACCACTGCTGGCTGTCCCAAACAAACCTCTTTTATCTGCTGTATTGCCAGTCAGGAGACTTTTGTTCTGAGGAGGTTCATTCTCAAAGCCAGGCTTTTCAGAGGGTCTATTTAATTCATAACATAACCCCTCTAAAAAGCACACAATAGCCTTTTCAGAAAAGTATTTCAGAAGAGGAAAGTAACTCAAGAGCCCTTCTTGCATCAGAGGTGCAAAGCACAGTTAGATTAAAAACTGACAAGGCGTATGAAGGGTAAGAAAAAAGGCTTCTACAGTTACCACAGCATCAAAAAGAGATGACCCACGATTTTTCTGATGTTTGATGGCAGCCACCAGGAGCATGATAGCCAAAAAAACCAAAAAATAATTCCACGACTTCTTAATCACGGGTGTGTAGAAATAAAGTTCCTCACACTCTCTCCAGTGTCATTTCCAGAACTGGTATCCTTCATCTCAGGAAGAGTTGGGTATTCATCCAATCTATCCAGTTAATTGCACTTCCAAGTATGGAGTGTTGCTAAATCCCACCCCTTCCCATTAATCAGCATTTAAACTTGAAATCAAGCAGGGGGCAATCAGGTATTACTGAGACAGCTTGACTAATTGTCAGCCTGTGCATTTCCTTACTGTTCATTAGCCAGTGACAGTGAATTGCAAAAATGCAAAATTCATTTCCCAGCTTTTTTCCCCCTATGCTGACAGGCTCACAAAACCAGCACCCAGCTGTGAATCTATGGAAAACACACTGAATGAAAAAAGAAAACCCAAGGGGGGGAGGAAAGCCCTGATCAAAGCATGATCAAGGGCAAAACAAAGTCTGTCCTTGAAATCCCTGCAAGCATTTTAATGGCAACCCTGCACATTGCACTACAACACTGAACTGCTCGGGAAACGCAACCAGAATAGAGATGATATTGCAAGTGATAAATATTTAGTGAATGATAGTGCAGACTAAAGACATGGGAGCATAATAAAGGGGTGTGTTTTGACCCATTGAGTCATTCAGTTCTGAGTCTTTAAACCAGAAAAGTTCTGGAGCACATGCTCATCTTAGAAGATGTTAATGTCCGATCAAACATATTTAATTTATATATTTAAAGTTAGGCATGCACTTAAGTGTTTTTCTAGACTGGCTGCTCAGAACTTTCCGAAATCAAGCTCTTTTCTGGGTCTTGGATGTTAACATTCTATAAGGAGATTTCTCATTTCTTACTGTCCTTTTGTCACATATCTTGTAGCATAATTTATATGAGTAATACATTAATGAAGAAATGTTGTATGAGAGAGAAAACAACATTTTCAAAGAGTGGTTTGAAAGTAGTGCTGTTTTACTGCTGTGGGTGGTTTAATAATAATTGGTGACTATTTTTATTTGTGAGTTGAAGAGGCCAGCCTCCCCAGCAGCCCACCCCTGGGATGGCAGCACAGCGGCTCTGTCACTCACCTCCCTGGATGCAGGATAGGATGCTTTCTGTTTGTGTCCACTTCTTTTACAGCCAGTGGAACTTCAGCTCCTGTAATCGAACAGAAGCTCTGGGAGCCTGTGGACGAGCCGTCAGTAAGACTGGGAAGGGACTGGGGCAGTGACAAATTTGCTGGTGCATTTCCCAGTGTTGCCTGGAGAGGGGACAGAGGGAACGACTTGCCCTTGTACCAGGAGGTGCTGCCTTCTGTATAAACATCTAAAATGAAAATGAGTCCTGTGCTAAGGTCCTGGGAGATTTCCTTTCACCACTAGTTACCCACTGTATTAACTCCTGCCTGTTTCCACCAATAATTACAGTCGCTCCCCCACGGGAAAAGCTGAGGGGAGATGGGGCTGAAGGGAGTGGGATGAGGGGAGATAGGGCTGAGGGGAGATAGGGCTGAGGGGAGATGGGGTTGAGGAGGGATGGGTGAGGGGAATGGGCTGAGGGGAGATGGGGCTGAGGAGAGTGGGATGAGGGGAGATAGGGCTGAGGGGAGATGGGTGAGGGGAGTGGGCTGAGGGGAGATGGAGCTGAGGAGGGATGGGGCTGAGGGGAGATGGATGGGGCTGAGGGGAGTGGGATGACAGGAGATGGAGCTGAAGGGAGATGGGTGAGGGGAGTGGGCTGAGGGGAGATGGAGCTGAGAGGAGATGGGTGGTGGAAATGGGCTGAGGGGAGAAGGGGCTGAGGAGGGATGGGGCTGAGGGGAGATGGATGGTGCTGAGGGGAGGTGGTGCTGAGGGGAGATGGAGCTGAGGGGAGATGGGTGAGGGGAGATTCGGCTGAAGGGAGTGGGATGAGGGGTGATGGAGCGGGATGAGGGGAGATGGAGCTGAGGGGAGATGCGGCTGAAGGGAGTGGGCTGAGGGGAGATGGAGCTCAGAGGAGATGGGTGACGGGAGCGGGCTGAGGGGAAATGCTGCTGAGGGGATCTGGCTGACGGGAGCGCGCGCGCGGCCCCGCCCCTCCCAAGCCCCGCCTCCCAGCGCGGTCCCTTTAAGCGCGCGCGGGCGGGGCCGCGCGGTGTCACGTGCGGGGGCGGGGCCGGAGCGGAGCCCGCGCTCGCGCCGGCGGAGGCAGCGCGCGCGCCCGCGCCGTGCCCGCGCCCCGCAGCGGCCATTCCCCCTTCCGCCCCGGGGGCGCGCGCGGCGGCGGCGGGAGCGGCGGGACAGCCCCGCGCGCCCCTTCCCCGCTCCCTCCTGCCCTGCCCTTCCCTTCCCTTCCCTGCCCTGCCGGCGGGATCCGCGCGAGGATGGAGCTGTTCCAAGCCAAGGACCACTACATCCTGCAGAGCGGGGAGCGCGCGCTGTGGTGCAGCCGGAGGGACGGCAGCCTGCAGCTGAGAGCCGGTGAGAGACACAGACACAGAGAGACCCCCGGGGCCGCGCCCGCCGCCCGCGCGGGGAGCGGGGCGGGCCGGCCCGGGACCCCCTCGGAGGGCGGGGTGTCCCCGGCGGTGCCGCCGCCCCGGAGCTCGCGGGACCGGCCGCGGGTGCCCCCGGGCTGCGGGAGCCGCGGCGGGTCACGCGTGTCCCGGTGCGTGTCCCGGTGCGTGTCCCGGTGATCCCGCCGGTCACGCACCTCTCCATGTGTTCGTTTCTCCCCAAAATGAAGCGGCGCTGCCCCTGCCCGGCTGCGCTGCGGGTGTGACCCCGACAGTTGCCGGTGTTGGGAGGTGTCTGGTGCCCCCCCCCCCGCCCCGGGGGAGCATCGTCGGGCGCGAAGGGCCGTGTTTGGGGTGGTGACAGCCTTACATAAGGGATGCTCCCGGCGGATGGGAATTGCGTCTGTGAGCCAATGTGCCCCCTGGTCGCCTCTACCCGGAGAAACCGAACAGGTGGCTCCGCTGGGTTGGGGCTCGGTGATCGTTAAGGTCCGTTCCAACCCCTACCAGTCTGTGATTTCTGAAGCGCTTCTGAATTTTTTAGTGGCTGTGTGATGGCAATTGCAATGCTACGTATTACCCCCTCTCCGCATTAGTATCAGGCTGAAGGGAACGTGAACAAAAATTGAGACGGAGTTGTGTTAATGGGAATTTTGAAACAGTGGTGGTTATCCTGTCCTGCCCGGGAGGTCGGTCAGTAAAGGTGTCTATAAACCGAAATACTGCCCTTAGAAACTGTCTTGCTTTGAGTAATGTGGGCTCCCTGCCCATGGCATGGGGCTGGAACAAGATGATCTTTAAGGTCCCTTCCAACCCCAACCACTGTATGACTCCGGGATTCTCACATGTAGCTTTGATGTAAAGGATCACACTGACCCTGCTTCTGTGTTAAAGGTGCTCTAAATAGCTGTGGGTTTCACCAAACATGTGGCAGGTTGCACAGATGTTACTCACAGCTTTCTAAAATTGGGATCTGTGCTATGCCAAAAACGGTGGCTGCGTGTGCATGTGGCCAGGTTGGTTGTCTGAGTACAGTACTTTGTGAGTTTTTTTAAAAAGGCTGGACAAATTTATAGGTACACATCAAATGCCATTGTTATCTGTGTTTCCCCAAAGAACTGTTTTTCATACTACTTGTTTTATGTTTTCATCCTTGAGTTGTGTCTTGTCAATGCAGTCTGTTTGTTTATGTCTCTTAGACAAAATTACAGTGTGTGTCAAATTAGCATGACTAATTCTAGTCCATCAGCTCTACTAACCCAGCAGTACTTTGATTGCTAAGTGATCTTACAAAATACTTGATGTTAAGCTAGCAAAAAGCACTGCTGGTCAATAAAGTACATGGTCTCACAGGGTGCAAAAACCCCCAGCCCCTCAGGTTTAGATTTGTGATAGCTGTAGTCATCTGCATAGGCATAAAAGCTCTTACTTGACCCAGACTAATAAAGGCACGAACTAATGAGCTGCAGTTCTGGAGACTGGTGTTCCAATACTTTACCAGCATCAATCCCTTGTTTTCATGCAGCCATTGCTGTGTTTGTTTATTTTTTCTTGGTGTCCATTAACTTCCCGGAGGCTTTGCCAGTGCCCAGCAGTTTGTCTGTGCTGCTCAGCAGCATTTTGCCCTTAGCCTGCCTCTCCATTTTCAGCCAGTTCACATGTGATCCCTGTTGTGTGTGACCTGCAGATTAACGAGAGGTAATGTGATATTGGAGTCTCTTGGTCTGCTTGAAACTCTTGATTGTTAGTCACTCTTTCTCATTCCAGCCTGTTTGTAGTTTAGTTTTTCCAGCCTTGTCTGCGGATCATCTTCTTGACATCAGACTTTAAGAGATAAAATACCTTAGTATGTTAAATGTAAAACCAAGAAAGAAACAGTTCTCTTACAGGAAGTATCTCTTGGATCAATAGCTCTTCCTTGTATTGAGACAAAGCTGCACATCCTCAATTTTACAGTTTTATTACATTTATAATCGAGGCCACTGTCCGGAAATGAGCAAATGGATTTCTGTGTGATGAGTCATTGCCATGTTAAAAAAAACAAACAAAGTCATAACTTGTGTTCGCTGACATGTTTAATAATCTGTCAAAAGGCTGTAATCTAACTATGTGTCTCTGCTTGTTGTTGGAGGCCTTGGTTTTATTCTGTCCCACGGAGGCTGCTCTGAATTAATTGTTGTACATTCATGGATTGAAATAGATAACACTGGTAAACCTTGCAAAATATTGCTTTATATGGTAGGTCTGAATCTAAAGGGCTGGTGATAAGCTTTAGAATACTCTCCTCCCTCAACTATAAAGGCATGTTTAGAAATTTGCTAATCTTAAAAGCTGTATTTTGGACCTCTTTGAATCGTGGAGATAACAGCTTGAATTAAAAAAAAAAGGCGAAAAATCTTGTTAAATGTTTGCCTTGAGCAAAGCCTGAGGTTGGCCCTAGTTTGAAGGATGTCTGCTTGTGTTTACAAGATGTTTCTGGTTTTTTTTTTATTCTCTAAAATGAAAGCACTAATGAGTCACCTGCAGGAAATCCATTAATCACTTTGGCATCCTGGATTTTTAAGGAATTTAGCTGTCTACAGTGTATTTTTTTCAGTGCAGTGAAAAAACATGTGTTGTTCAGCCATGCCTTAAATACCTTCCATCAGGTCTGGGTCAGGATTTCACTCCTGAATTACTCTGTGTGGCTGCTCCTGACTGGTAGTTGTACCCAGGTTATGCACAGACTTTTATTGATGGTGTTGGTATAATTTATGTGTTTATATTTGCCTGTGTATACATGTATGGAAAGGAGCAAAAGTATTGAAGGCATTCGATTCTTCTCAGCGTTTTCTTATCAGTAGAAAAAGGAATGAGACTATGTTGTGTCGTGGAAACTTCTATTATCATTGTGTTGGCCCTGGTAATGCTCCAGGCAGTAATGTCATGCTAAATAAGATTGGGAATAGCTGCCACTAAAACTATTTCTAGGAGTTATGCTGATTCCCACCACCCTGGAGAAAAAACCCTGCCAGATACTGAGTGGCACACAGACTTGAATTACTCCAGCACAGCTTTTGGGGGTGTCATGCTCAAAGACTCCACAGTTTCCTCTGCCTGTAAGAGTGAGGTGGTGTTAAGGTGTGTCTTACTTTGGAATTGTGGATAGAAGCAAATGAACATTTGTCTGTTTTAAATAAACACTTCAGGAATTTATTTTTACAGTATTCATTTTCATCTGTTGAAAATGGTTGTGAACCAGCAACTGAAGCGATGCCTTTTAAATACTTCCAGTGAGGGACATGTTGCCAAACAGTATTTTCAGAGTGTCAGGGGACAGATTTGAGGATAGGTGTCTAAGTTTGATAGTGTGATATCTTTTCTGAAATAGAAATCATAAAGCCATCTAATATTCTAGCATTTGCTTGCCTTCTCCTCAAAGGCATTACAGGAGTTGTGTAGAAATCACTTGTCAGGATTCCTGAGCTGTCCTTCGTGGTTGCAGGCTGGAGGAGTTCCTTTGTGTGAAGTCTGATGCCTGAAAATGCTCCAGTGAAGGCCTTGAACTAGTGATGAATGGTGTAAGGAGTGAAACCACTGCTACCAATACACATATTGGCAAATTTAAGGCTCCAGAGTAGTCCTGGGCATGGCTCTGAGGGGGTGGTGGCCTGAGTGCTAACTCATGCTGCTGAATGATTTCATGTAAAATTGCCTTCCTGAATTTCAGCACTATGTCTTGGAAACTGCCTGTCTATTCTGGGAAACGAGTTCCACAGGAGGCTGCAGCTTTAGAAAAATCCTCTCCATATTTCAAGTCACTTCATAAGGAACCTCAAGCTGTTTTTTTGACACCTTTTCAGCTGCACTGGTTGCTGCACTGCTTCTCACCCTTGCTTGCTCATCCTGTTCCCTCTCTTCCTTACTCTTCCTGAGCTGTCAGCACCACGTACTCGTGGCATCTGTGACAAACCAGATGTCAGAGCTGATCTCTATTAGCTGCAACCCAGCAAGGATGTGTGCTGAAATCTTGAGCAGCTGGGTCCCTGGTGCTGCTTTCTCCTTCCTGTGCAAGAGAACAGAGGGGACTGGGGTGGGCTGCTCTGTATCCTTTGTCAGATTAAATATTACATACACTAGTCAACGTTGTGGCTTCTGACTGTGAGGCAAGATCTTCAAATGTATTTATGAGAGAGAAATTGTTTTCTGCTTTTAATAAGTAAGATCTACTTTGTAATTTTATCCATGATTCTTTTTACAGAGCATAACTGAAACTGAGACTTAATGTGGGTTAATAGTGTGCTACAGCCTAACCTGGTGAGAATTAAATAAATCTTGAGGTGAGGGGTTTCTTTACTTTCTTGTTGAGTCTTAGCAGATGACAAGTTGTCTTTCTTCTTCTTCTTTTCCTTCTGTGAAGAGTTCTGGAAATGCCAAGCTTGTCCCAACTGAGATGCACAGATGTCTTGGAATTCCTGCCCGTGCTGAAATGGTTTTAGGTTTTAAGGACATGAAAAACTTCTCAGGCTTGATGTTCTGGTGTTGCTGGTTCCTTCTTTTTTAGATTCATTAAAATGAATCTAATTCAAGTGGATTTTTGTGCCTTGAATTTTGCTAGCAGAGGTTAGGCTCATCTTTGATCTCATGGGTTAGTATTAACTAAACATTGAATGGGAAGGTGCAGACTAACTGCAACTAAAATATTTAAAACAGAAGATACTGACTTCAAATAAGAAAGGTCTGCATCTGTACCAAAG